AAAAAAAAAAAAAAAAAAAAATTATAATAATGATAACAAGAAAAAATAAAAATAAAAAAATCTAACAAAACTTTAGCACCTAAATTCTGAGGTGAAATGCTCAAACAGAAGTGTCAAATATTTACTAAAAAAATAGAGAAAACTAGATTTGCAACCACCACTTCTCAAACAATTTCTTATTCAATTAAAACAGTTTTTTTCAAGTGTCTCAAATTAAAAAATATCTGAAGGCAAAGCGAATTAAAAACATAAACAAGCCACACAGTATCGCAAAACTAAAATAAAAGAAATTGTAAGCTATATTAAAAGATTTGAAAGCAACGAACAACATGGAGAACAACGAACTACATGACGTGGTTCTATCAGAATCTTGAGCAAAGTTTTCCAGCCCACTTCCAGCCAGAAAATAACAACAACAAAAGCCCAAAAAAGACTACAAATATTACTTCACAAAGCGTGATTAACAATTTGCTTACCAACGTTACCAATTATGAAAAACTAGAGAAATCTAAAACGTGACTAACACTGTCTCAAACAAGCACAGCAGGCTATATTCCTGCAGAGACTTCTCACCTAATTCTCATTAGTGTTATCAATCCTTGCATAAGTTTTATATTAAAAACTAAATACTAACAAGTCTAAAAACAATTTTAAAAATAACAGTAGCAACAGCACTTAAAATAACTCATCCATAAAAAAAAATGCATCAGCTACTCTGACGACTGCTGTTTTTGTGACAACTGCTGAAGCTGCTTCTCATCTTGCTGTGACATAGAGGTTAGTCTTTTTCCAAGTTTCTCATGGACGTCCAAATATTTTGCTACACATCGGTCTAAGCAAACAGCCTCTCCCTTGGTTAAATCCCCTTCACTGTAGAAATGAAATATTTACAAAAATCCAAAATATTTAAGTTGTGTCGACCTGACGATACAAAAGATAAGTTCACATCACCATATTTGACCTATAAAGCGATGAAGAGAATATACCTGTAACGAGTCGAAATACATTTCTGCTGACAAGCATTTGTCATTCGCCGGTACATATCAGACATCATCTCCATTTCCAGTTCCGCGACCATTTCTAACTGAGCTTGAGACATCTTGAGCAGATCAAAAACCACGAGATCGTCTACAACACTAGATACAACCTAAAAAAAAAAAAAAGAATACAACAATACAACATAAAAAGGACAGCAAACGTATAATTAAACCTAAACAGCGACAAAGACCTCCATTTCTAACACTGAAAAATGACCAATAAACGTAACTTCACCGATCGCTGCAAAGAATTATTAAGCAATATCACAGCGATCTGCTCTCAAACATATCAAACAGAGCAATACTAGCTAATCCAAAAAGAGAAATCTTAATCAAATTTATTGTTGCCTCCATTTTTATCGACAATACACAAACAAAATATGATAAACCCGTAAAGCCTGCTAAGAACTCTGAATATTACACAAATAAACAAAATAAAATTATTTACAGCACGGTTGACTGTTCAGTATGAGCAACTTAAAACCAAATTTGCAACTTACATCGACATCAGATACTCGTAAAAAAGTTGGATCACAAATAATAAACGAGTGAAAAGAAACTAAAGATCAAAGGCTTTTAACGAACGAATAAAACTATAGTCAACAGAAAATGCCTAAAGTTCCCCGCTAAAAGTGGGTGTCAGGACATTACCCATTTCACCACAATTAAAACATGTATATTCTGCAACATAAGTAAGATTTGAGAAACGAGTCGCAGTTACGATAGGTCCATAAAAATCAATCACGTATGATGAACCATCAGCCGGCCTTAGACGTTGAAGAGCAATCATAATAACATCAAATATCCACAACACGAGAAAACCGCCACAAGAAAACAATTTTAGAAAACCTGCAAAAGAAAACTGGAATTGTAAAATTCATACACATTCATTAAATGGTCGAAGTTCATATACAGTATACCTAGCGCGTAATAACCGAGGTAAAACCGATCACCGCCAAAAAAACCAGTGAAGAATGACAGAACCAAAGCTGTGCTGTAGTAATATTTTGACGGGTAAGAACACGCGTTAGCAATTCTCATTTCAAACCTTAACCAAAAATGAAAGTCAAGAACTTCGCCTCCCGTCTTCAAAAAAAAAAGTCAATTCACATTAAAGAGATAAAAACAATTCCTCCCAAGAACTCCATAAAATCAATTTGGAGACAAGCTGCACCTACCGTCCCGAAGTTTTGTTCAAGCCGTCGCATTCGAGACCTGCCACAACAACACAGGACACTACAAACAATAACGATTAAATAAATGACAAAGAAAAATTAACTAAACTTCTCTTTTAAACAATATGTCGAACTATATTCATTACCAAGTACTGAATTGTCTTCTGCGCATGTCTTCGGTTGTTGAGTCGCGACTGAAATTGATGGTTCATCACATCGGTATCTGAATAATTAACTGAGTAGAATTACTGGCAGTCAGTCGTCCCTCCATGTAAAAAGGATTCTTGTACCACTTCAAATGAGCCAATACGTAGGTTTGATATAGCAGAAAAGCTTATTGAGACGACAATTAAAAATTATTAAGACTAAAGAAAGAAAAACTTACTGTCCCATTAAAAGTTCCGAACACGGTTTCAGTACTCCAGATGGTTTCACTACAGCGGTCAAAAAAATGCACGAAAATAAAAGATGTCGTAAAAACCAACGTGACGAAGAGCGAAGTGCGCCCAAGCGCATCGCTTAAATTTTGATATATACCTCTGTAGCAACACCAGCCGTACTAGTAAAGTAAAGAAGACTACCGGTCGTACTGCTGAAACAAGAACAACTGATCAAATACGTCCGAAATGAAGATAACGACTATGCTTCATGGCGCGAAGTGAAGTACGACACATAGCTTACAAAACTCGC